GGATGCTACAGACCACAGGGGTCTTGGCACTGAGGGAAGAGAGGTGACTAAGACTCTCAGAGTCTAGAAATGGCAATGACACTAGAACTGTAGAGTGGCCCGGTTTGTGGCCTCGATCTGCTACCAGGGCTCTGAGCAACAGAGCCTGGGCCCTGGCAGCCCTAACCAGCTAGGCTCAGCCGCCTACATGCAATAAGGCAGGTGAATGGTCAAAGAAAGGAGATTTAGTCAATAAAGTCCACACTGGGAAGAGAAGCCAATAAAGGTGGTGTTCAGTGACCATCCCCTCCCCCCCAGTCAACCCCCAGAGTCCTGACATGAAGTTTAGAGCTATTTTTTAAGTTTGTTTTATTATTACTTTTGGTGTGTGTGTGTGTGTGTGTGTGTGTGTGTGTGTGTGTGTGTGTGTGTGTGTGTGTGTGTGCATGTATGTACATGGCACACATGTGGTCAGAAAATAACTTCTCTCTTTCCACTGTGGATTTTGGGGATCAAATTCAGGTTGACAGGCAAGTGCTTGACCTGCTTCCCCATCTCACAGAGCAGAGGGTTAGGTTTGAACAGAGGACAAGGTGTGCGCATCACTAAACACTCCTCCTGGCTAAGGTGCGGTCTCACTCATCACCACTGTCTGGATGTACAGTCTCTCCTGAAAGGTGTTATATGACAAGTTGTCAGAACTGTGTGAAATCTCTTCCTGGGAGACCAGTTCCTTCTCTGGCTGGCACCTTTCCTTCTTCAGTGTGAGATTTCTGGGGAATTTCCAGTTCTTGGGACCGTTTTGTCTCAATAGTCTCACAGCCAGAGGGAGAGATGTCAGGTCTCTTTAGAACATCTTCACTCCAGGATGATTCCGGTGGTAAAGTTCCTGCGATACAGGCCTGAGGACCTGAGTTCAGGTCCCTAGCACTCACACGAAAAAGCTGGGAGTAATCGCATGAATCTACAACTTTAACGTGAGCAGTGAGAGGAGACGGGAAGAATCCTCAGAGCTTCCTGGCTAGCAAGTCTAGCCAATAGGTGAGTGCCAGGTTCAGTGAGAGACCCTCTTGTGGATGTTTATCATCATTGGAAGGGGGTAGACTACAAGTTGTTGTTGGTCATGATCAGGGAGAAAGCTGAACAAGGGAGATTAAACTCAGGGATCTCTTTCTGAAGAGAAAAATGGGGGATAGGGGACCGAAAGGATTAAAGGATGTATTAATGATTCTACTTTAAACTAAAAAGTAACTATTAATCTTAAGTATTTTACATTGGAATGGATTTTTGTATATTGATACAAACATAAGGCTATTTTTGTTATACTGTATATGTGCTTCTACTCTTGTTTAAGGTATTGTACCTATGTAGCTCATTTAAAAATGTAATGTATAATTAAGAAATAACAGGTTAGTAGTTAGTCATCAATCAAACTTGTAGTCATGTTAGGTATGCTTCCAAGGTTAAACAGAGGTATATTTTAGATAGATACGTGATTTTTAAACACTTCAGAGACATAAAAAATATGGCATTTAAAGTGTTTTAAAACATAAGGCTTTTGGTGACAGTGGCACATGTCTGCTCCTAGCAGTGCCAATCTGCTTCATAAAAGGATGATGGGCATCAAAGAACCTCCACATGGAGTTTGTTTTCATTGTAGTAAAGTTAGCCAGGGGCAAGAAACTGCCCTTGCCTCGAGTATTGACAGTGTGCTGTCCAAACTGGACAAGCAGGACACAAAAGAAAGCCATGCTGAGCTTTGCCAAGACATGGTAGGCCAGTTCTTCAAAATTTCCTGCTTCACGAAAAGGTCTGTCAGATATTCTAGGCCTTAGGCCGAAGATGGATGCTCCAATGTTACAGAGGAACCTTGGGTGACTGTCCAGGCAGCCAGATGTCTCTGTCATTTCTATAGTTTTGGAAGTTGTTTGCCCTACACTTCCTGTTTTCTCAGGCAATAGTATGTCCTTCTCCAGTTATTGATGGGGTTGAAGACTAGTAGTTATGGTTATAGTTTTCCTTGTTACCAAATTAAAAAAAACTCACAAAGGGGATATAAAAATTATAAAGTTGAAAACATAAAACCCTAAGTTGTTTATCTAACAAGATGGTTTAAGGTCTAAAAAGGTATTTTTGGGTTGATAATAAAAGATATAATAGAAAATAAATTAGGTACAAATCTTTTGATTCGCCAAGATAGAATAGATAATAGAATATTTTCTCTGAATTTGCCAAATACAGATAGACTGGACATTGTAAATGTAATTCTTACCTGATAACTGTTTTTATTGTATATAGTTTTACTGTATTAGGGTTAAAACTTTTCCTTTTATTTAGACAAAAAGGGGGAAATGTTGTGGGACATTTGTACACTGTATGAAGATGTATTGCTGTGACTGGTATAATAAAAAGCTGAATGGCCAATAGCTAAGCAGGAGAAATAGGCAGGACTTCAAGGGAGAGAGAGATCTCTGAGGAAAATAAAGGCAGAGTCAGTCATGGAAGAAGCAAGATGGGCAGTACAGAGAGATAAGGTGACGAGCCGTGCAACAGAACATAGATTTTAAAATACGGGTCAATTTAAGTTACAAGAACTACCTATGAACAAGCTTAAGCTGAGGCTGAGCTTTCATACTTAATAAGTCTCCGTGCCATTATTTGTAGGCTGGTGGTCCTGAGGGGGAATTACTACTATTACTACTACTACTACTACTATTACTACACACACACACACACACACACACACACACACACACACACACAAATATCTTCATTCTTTCCAGGACAGTTACAGATCTGTACTGCCCTGTAGAATATATGTGTTCCTATCCACATTCCCTCCTGTCTGGGTTATCTCAGATGCTTTGATGAGATGAAATGGAGCCTGTCTCCATGTGGGAGCCCAGCAGTCCTGCATGTGAACTCAGCGAGTCCTCTCTGCCTTCCTGTCACTCACTGGGTGAGTCTTTGGTCATGTGTTGACACCACAGTGGTGGTTGGTGCTGACTGCTGTTGTGAACACATCTCAGCTGCAGACATTCTGATGTAGGGGTGCAGCCACAGGTGGCTGTTATTTCAAAGTATGCCCTGTGACTCTAACGTGCACCAGGATAAGGACCCTCAGGACTGGATGCCCTGCTGGGCCAGTGTGGTCACTTGAATAAAGATGGCACCATAGGCTCATGGATTTGGATACTTGATCACCAGAGAATGGCACTATTTGAATGGATGAGGAGGTGTGGCCTTGTTGGAGGAAGTTTATCACTGGGGGTGGGCTTTGAGGTTTCAAAAAACCCATTCCAAGCCTGGAGTCTTGTCTCTTCCTGCTGCCTGTGGATTCAGATGTAGAGCTCTCTGCTGCCATGTCTGCCTGCCTGTGGGCCACCGCGCTCACCACCATGATGATGACGGACCAAACCTCTGAACCGTAAGCCAGCCCCAATGAAATGTTTTCCTTTACAAGAGACGCCATGGTCTTAGTGTCTCTTCACAGCAATAGAACGCTGATTCAGACACCCTGCCTTCCAAGTATTGCCTTCTGGGAAAGATGTGATCTGTGCCCAGCGGAGGAAGCTGCCTTCAAGGTGGTGTGCTTCAGTTCCGTTCATTCCCTGAAAGTCACCTGCCTCCCACGGCAACTTGCCCCTTTCAAATTCTGCAAATCTGAGTCTCCTCGCTCTACGATCCGCATCCATCTCCGGTTCCTGCCCTGACTTCCTTCCGGATGGACTACGCTGTGGAAATGTCAGCCAAACAAAACCCTCTCCTCCCCAGGTAGCTTTTGGTCTTGGTGTTTCATCACAGCAATTGTGACCCTGACTGAGACAACAGGGGTGAGTGGCTGTGAGGGAGCGTTGTGGCTTGAGTCTGGTGGCAGTTATCATTACTGAGAGGTGACTGTCACTGAGGACAAAAATCAGAGTTTTAATTTGTTTTGGCTTTAGTTTTTGAACAGGAGCTTGTGTAGCCCAGGCTGGCCTCAAAGTTATTAAGTATCTGAGGATGACCTTGAACTCCTGATCCTTACTCAAGGTCAGGTTTTTTGTTTTGTTTTGTTTTGTTTTTTTCTGAGACAAGGGTTTCTCTGTACTGTTTTGGAGCCTGTCCTGGAACTCGCTCGGTAGACCAGGTTAGCCTTGAACTCGCAGTGATCGGATTGCCTCTGCCTCCAGAGTGCTGGGATTAAAGGCGTGCCACCAATGCCTGACTCAAGGTCATCTTTTGATTATGGGAATGGAGGGGTGAAAATTAGGGTCAAGTTCATTACCAAACAGATTTAAGTACCTTCTTCTGTGTCATCTGTGCTAGACCCCACCTTCTGAGAAGTGCACAGAATCCAGTCAGGGGTCTCTCGGGTAACCTTTGAATAACACTTTGTTAATAGCCTCAACTTAGTTTGCGTTGGTGGTTAGTCTTTTTATTTTCTTTGGTAACTTTACTTAGTTCTTTGACGATTTCATACATGTTTATGGTGCGTTTTATGTGCTGTCGCCCACCCCACATACTCTTGCATGAAACCCTATCTAACGTTGCCTGGGCTGGCCTCAGACTCCTGACCACTCTGCCTACGCCTCACGCATGCGCAGGGATTATATGTCTGCAACCACGGATCCCGGCTCAAGTCCCCACTAGCCCCCTCCGCACCAAAATGCTTCCTTTCTCACAGTCGTGTCTTTTTGCTTTGTTTGGTGACACAGTGAATTTAACCAAGGTCAGCTGTACAACTGTGGGCCGGGAGCATACACTGAGCCCTGCAGGCTCAGCCGAGGGTGACCGCAGCGGCAGAGCTCTGTGGGTCCCTGTTCGCTTATGCCAAGGAATTTTTTCATCGTTTGGGTTCTTTTTGTTACTGGTTTTTGTTTTGTTTTGTTGGAGGGCTCTGCAAACAATAAAAGCAAGGCCCTTGCCTTTCTTCCTCCAGCTTTATTTGGTTTGTTCCCTCTGTGTGACAGGAGGGAGGGGAGGTTCACGGGGAGGGAGGGTGGGTTCACAGGCACAGTCACCGGCATCTTGCTGGCTTCCGGATGACCATCCCTGAGCCCCTTTGGACCTTTGACCTCTGCCTCATCTCCTGTGTGTTCTTCTAACACCCTTGTAAATAGTTCCCTGTATTTCATTCACTCACAGACGGGCTGCCGATTCCCAGAGCCATACGTTCACCAAATGGGAAGAGGTTTGTCAATCCAGTCCTGTGTCTCTGCCGTCTGCACCCCCGACCCCGTGCTCCTCCCTCAGAACCCAGTTGCTCTCCTTTCGGAACCCAGAACACACATCTTTCTTGCTGTGAGCCCTTCACAATGCTTTTCCTACAGCGGGATGAGATGCCCCCATTTTTGTCTAGGTGACTCATCCTGACCCTTCACCCTTTGAGTTTGATGTCATCTCCTCTGAGAGGCCACCTCTCATTGTACCCCCTGCGTGCATGGGGTATTCATAAAAAATAGAGGGTTTTAGTGTTTAGAAGTGGCTCCCCTCCCAAAGTCTATTAGTTTTCTCATTGCTGTGGCTGAATACCTCATGACATCAGTTTAGGGAAGGAAGTGTTTGTTTGGGATTACAGTTGAAGGGTGCCCTCTACCATGGTGGGGGAGTCATTGTAGCAGGAATGTAAGGCGGCTGATCACATGGACAGGAAACAGAGAAAGACGAATGCTCAGCTCATTTTTCCTTTTATTCAGGATTCATCCCACGGAATGGTATCACCCACAGTTAAGATGTGTCTCAGTTACCTAACTAGAAACCTCCTCACACATGTGCCCAGAAGCTTGTCTCTGGGTGATTCTAGAGCCCATCATGTCAACAATCAATATCATTGATCACACCAACATATCATTATGTATATGAAAACACTCCAAGACCTAAACAATGCAAAATCTGAGGCACTCCTTGGCACCAGGCATTTTAGACAAGTTTACCCAACCCGTATTGGTCTTGGAATATTTTTCTCAAATCCTTCCCTGGTCTCCTGGGCCCTGTGACCTCTCTGAAACAATTTTTAAAAGGCGATGTTGTTGTTTTCCCTCATGGAGTTCATTTTTGAGATATCGGGCTCTGCAGGGCTGAGCTGCAGGTTGCCATGGTGATTCCTCATTGGTGGGGAGTGGAGTAATTGCCCTCAATAGCTGATTTTTCCTGGGTGGGTGGAACTCAAAACTGTCATGGTTGAAAGGGCAGCTTTGGGGCAACACAGAGCTTCCATACAGTCGAGGTGGGCAGAGAAGAGAGCTGCAAGTTCCCAAAGGTGTGAGTCCCAGGCCTGTGGTCTCCACAGCTGCCTGTGTGGCGCCTTGACAAAGAGAAACAAAATACCCATGCTTGTTTTTTTAGCTAATGATGAGCAAACACAGCTTAGAATACTGGAGACCCGTTATCACTAAGAGGGTGGTGTCAGCAAACTCTAGGATGTGTTATGTGTGTGTGTGTGAGGGGGAGAACCACACCCTCTGTAAGTAAAGTTATATTGTAATGTGGCCATGACACCTATTACTGTTGTTTCCAGCAGCGTTCCTCACTGGCAGAGCTGACCGGTTTCCACTTGTACAGTTCCCTGAGCTGTAAGTCTCTGCCATCTAACTCTTTGCGGAAAAGGCCTCTGGGCATGAAGGGCTTGAAGGTGAGGACAGGAAAGGAAGCAGAGGTTGTTTGTATGACTGTCTGTAAAGGCTTGCTTTTTCTTTTGTTTTGCTGTTTATATTTATCAAATGCTTTCTTGTGGCAGGCTCTCTATTGAACATTCTCAGCAGCTCTGTTTTGCATGAAAAAAAAAAAAAGCATCCCGGAGGAGTTAGTGACTATCACACAGCACAAGCTTTCATTAAAATCAGCAACTCAATCCGGGTGGATGTCCTGTATTAGAACCGATCATGGTATAACACCAGGGGCGTGGCTCGCTAAAGCGCTTACCGTGCAAGCGTGAGAACCCAGCTCTCACATAAAAACTCAGGCCTCACACAAGCACCTGCCGAGGACTGGAGCAGGAGACTCCCTGGAGCTTGATGGATAAATCGTTCCAGGGAGAGACGGGGTCTCAGTCAATCAATCAGTCATCAACCAATCAAGTGAGACGCCATGGAGGAAGATACCTGATGCCCATATCACATGTACATGTGTGCACATGCGCACCCGCATGAATGCACGGGAGATCATACTTTGGGTCACACACCAGTGACTGGAAAGTCACCTTTTAATCTCATCATTACATACACCATTGAAGGGGCCAGCCCCTCCCCCAGCCCCCTGCTTTGGCAGCCAGGACAGGCTGCAGGAAAGACCCAGCAAGAGAAAGGCCCCTGACTCAGCGGTGTGTGCTGAACGTCTCACCTTGTCCTCACTAGGAAGCCAGATACTCAACGTGGGAAGGAACCAATCAATCAGAAATTAGCTGGCAGGCTCTGGATGTGCTTTATAACAGTGGAATTCAGAGCATAGCAACCGCCCTGGGCGGGCCCATAGGCCATAGCAACCAGGTGACCAATCAACACAGGACAGGTTGTCCAACCCCAGAAATGCACCAATCCTGAGATTTTTGTGGACCCCTAGACACTCACCTTGCTCACCCCAATAAATTCCCTGCCTCTTGGTCCCTCTGGCCCCACCTGCTGTGTCAGACAGACCCAGAAACTGATTTAAATACAGTTAACTCACTAAACAATAAAAGACTCTTTGCTTTTGCATCAGTCGGAGATTTGGGGGTTCAAAATTTGGGCACAACACCATCAGGAGTATGTGGAGGCTGCAGAAGTCATGAGTGAGCTAGGGCAGGTCATGCCATTTCCCCAGGCCCCGGTGTGGTCATAACTATAAGATGAAAGATGAGAGCCGGGCGTTGGTGGCGCACGCCTTTAATCCCAGCACTCGGGAGGCAGAGGCAGACGGATCACTGTGAGTTCGAGACCAGCCTTGTCTACCGAGCGAGTTCCAGGACAGCCTCCAAAGCCACAGGGAAACCCTGTCTCGAAAAACCAAAGAAAAAGATGAAAGATGAGGCCTATTCTCCAGGCCCCCCAGTCTCATAGAGCTGCGGATGCGACCCAGAGCCTCATTGATGCTGAGGCAAACGCTCTGTAACCAAGCCACATTCCCAGACCACGCCTCACTGCTCGCTCGCTCTCTCTGAATAATGACAGTCTAAGAGAAAACAGCCGGATGTTCACGGAGACTGTAGCAAGAGTTTCTTCTCTTTCAAAAATGGCTAAGTCTCTAAAACCACGATGTTTAGCCCCAGTTTTGTATGTGACTGTGTGTCATCTGCCTTCTCGATAAACTGCAGGATCTACACATGGGTTCTGGGAGCTGAGGAACCTTTAGGAGGTAGAATTTACGCCTGCCCGGAATTCAGCATCCTGTGTGTGCTCCCACCATCTATGCTATAACAAACCATCCTCGGGTACATATCACTCTCTGGGCCAGGGCAGTCTATAAGAATGGACCAGGAGTGGCCTCCACTATGCCAGCCTGGCCCTTCCCCTGGACTGCAACAGCTAGAGGACAGAGACCTGGCCAAGCCACATGCTCTGCCCTTCATACCGCTAATGAGGGAAAGTCAAGGTTTACAGCAAGTGACTGTGACCGCATGCTTTGCTGCCATCACACACCTCGGGGACTCAGCCTCCAACAGCAGTTCCTTCTCTTGCAGAGTGGGCTCATTCACCCTGCCAGAACCCGGGCTGTGCACCCCAGGTCCACACCCATCACAGGAGCCCTGAAAGACTTCTGAGTCAGCCTGGAGCTGAAAGTCAGATGGCATCACCCAGAGACCTGCCAAGTGACTGTTGTGACCTAGGTAGGACCAGCAACAACACCAACATGAATGCCGCCATTGGCTGAAGCGGGAAGGGTGGAGACTTGCTTCTACCAGCCCTGTGACCATGAGCATGTGAGGGAGGCTTTGTACACACAGTGGGAACACAGAGTGGGACCGAGGGCCAGAGGAGGCCTGCCTCCAACCTGCAAGGTTTTGTCCTAGTGACCTAGTTCCATTAGCCAGCCCTACCTCTTAAAGGGCCCACAGCCCTAAACTAGCAGAACCAGCTGGGAACCAAGTAAACATAACATGAACCTGTGGGGACACTTCAGAGTCAAACAGCGACTGTCCTGATGTCTGTTGTGACCTAGGTGGAGCCATCATGGACACCAGCATCGCCCATTGGTTAAGGTGGGAAGAATGTGGATTTGCTTTATGTACACATACCAAAAACATCACCAAGAAGTCAAACTGCTAACTACTCCATGGTAAATTTTCCTCCTGCATGCCAAGGATGCCACACTAGCAGATTTGGATGCCTGCCGTCCATGTGCCGTCTGTGAAAGCCATTGTCTGAGTTTTCCCTGTGAGATGAACACTAGGAAACCACTAGAGGAAATATGTGCTGCTGGCTCCCAGATGTTGTTAAAAAGAGAACGAGAGTCTGCCATACTGGCTCAAGAGGCTAACTATGTCAGCACTTCATATCTGTCCTTCCCAAAGTATTGAAGAACTATTTTCCCGCATAACTGAGTGTGTTCCCTGTATCTCCATTTTTAATCTGGAGGTCCTGAAGTTGGACCAGGCAAAGTTCCTCCCTCCACTTGCGTAGGAAGTAAGTCAGGTGAAGGAAGGTTCCGGACACACGCACTTCCCCAGCAGGCTTCGGGAGATCTGTGGCCCACAAAAAATTAAAATGTATCACACTAGCTTCCAAAAACCCTGAGCATCCCTGAGCTGTGGGAGGGACCTGCTTTGGCCTCTAGATACTACAGAGTTCCTGGGAGCTGGTCTATACCCCAGTGACTCTAAAAAGTTGAGTTGAAATAGAACGAGAGTAGTGCTAAGGAACACCCACTCCATTGCTGAAGCAGAAACTTCTGGAAGCTCTTGTTCTCTGGGACTTGGAGAGAGTGCTGTGGCTGCTGACAGAGAGGGCTTGGGTGCAAGACGTGTCCCCAGTGACCTACTTCTAGTTAAGTTCTACATCCAAATATTCCCAGAATCTTCCAAAACAGTACCACCAGCTCCTGGAACCTGGACATTAACAGCCTGTAGGGGACATTTAATTTTCAAACAATAACAAACCATATAGATTTTTAAAGGAAAACACAAGGCATGGCAAAAGCCACCCTCCGGTGGTCCCTGATTGTCACCTTTGAACACCTGACCCGGGCTATCTGTCTGTCTTGCCTATAAGCTGGTCTAAGTACTTTTTCTTCCTCAGCAGCCTTTACTGATCACACTGTTTAGATCTTGCACTTTCTTCTAACGTTGTGATCCTCAGATAAAAACCCACATTTGAGGGCTAAGGAGATGACTCAGTGGTTAAAGAGCTTGCTGGGTACAGGCTTCTGTACAAATGTGGCATGAACATGGCAGCCAACATATAATTCCAGTCTTGGAAGGCTAAGATGGGGTCCCTAGAGCACACTGGCTAAGCATCCTCACAAGATTCAATCGAACTCTTGAGTTTGATTGAGAAACCCTGCTTTAATGAATAAGCAAAGGATTATTGGATGATTCTAGACATCAACTTTGGGCCTTCATATGCACACAAACACACATTCATGGGCGCTCACGCACGCACGTGCACACACACACACACCAAACATGTATACATTCACATAGACCCCGACTCCCTCCCCCCCTTCTCTAATGGAGAGAGGCAGAAAATAACCTTCGTTGAATCAACTCTCCATCGCTAAGTAAATGACTCATTACATATCTCCTTCCTAGAACACACTCAAACCTAGGCATCCTGACTCCAAATCTGGAATGGTACCCACAAGGTCCCAGTGGTTTGAGGCTCTGGTGCAGAGTAGGAAGCCAGAAACAATGCCTTAAAGGAACACATTTGCCTTGGGAGGCTTCCAAGCTCCATTCCTGCTGTCATTACTGCAGTGGCCAATGGGAAACACTCACACAGGAGTCAGAATCGTCAGAACAAGTTCCTCCCACCCAGGCTGGCAGCTGCCCTGGAGCTGCCATGATGGCATCCCCCAGCTGTATTTCCAGGAACGTCACAGACAACTGTCTCCATGACACCTCTCAACAGTGAAGGCACTGTCTTTGTCACAAGAGTCCCTGAGTGAGCTCCTACATAGACGTGTTAATACTCCACTTTCAATCACTCGGGGCTTGGTGACAAGTGGCTTGAGTCTTCCTTTGACCATCCTTCAAAAATATATTGAATCCACACCTATGCCCAGCACTTTGCTGCTGGCCAGGAATGGAGAAAAATAATTGTCAAGAACCCCTTGCTCATCGTTGTCTCTCTGTCCAGCGAGAAAGCTGAGTTTCCTGGATGGTGCTGACTGGACACTGCAGGACCAGGCTCTCCTGTAGGGACTGACACCCAAATGCATGACAGAGATTGAGACCCCATCCAGCAGTGTGCAGCTGGGCAGTAAGGGCTTAAACTTGGTGATGCAGAGGCTCAAACCATTCATGGAGGCTGAGTTCTACTTCTCAAGGCTGCCTCTGTTGTGGGTGGCATCTACAGCAGGGCCATGGAAAGTGCCCCCGGGGCTTTGGGCTGAACTTTTTGTTGTTATTTTATTAAGTCCAGCTCCACAACCGATTGAAAGTTCTCATGGCAGACAGTGAGTCCCCAGGCTCAGCGCCAACTTGCCGCACCATTGTTTGAGTGAGAGTATTCTTACCTACCATTTACCTCGGGCCCCCACATGCTAGTTCTTAGACATCAAACTCACCCACCTCTTGCTCATCCCCTTCCTTCTGAGGTTGCTATGTCAGTTTTCTGAGACTGGCTAATTTATAAAGAAGAGAATTTTGTTTAGCTTTGCAGTTATCACATCTGGTGAGAACCTTTTTGCCGTGTCATAGTCTAATAGAGGACATTACATAGACCGTTTGTATCTCCCTTCTTCTTACAAGGCCACTAATCCCCTTTTGGGGAGCCCACCCTCAGGACCTCATCTAATCCTAATCACCTCCAAAGGGCCTTACCTCCAGAAACATTAACATGAATTTGAGAGTTAAGTTTGCAACCTACGAACTCCTAAGGAACTTACTCAAATTGTAGCAATTGCTTTCCATAAATGAAATATCTTTGAGGCCCTTTAAAATGCAGGGGTTTGGGGTCTGGATGATGGTAAAAAGTACTTGCAAAGAAAGCCTGATAACCTGAACTTCATCCCCAGAGCCCTCATAGAGGGATAGAGGAGAATCAAATCCACAAAGTTGTCCCCTGACTTCCACATTCCCTGTCTTCCTGCTCTGCTCTCCCTAAGGTGCTGGTCCTGTTTTCCTTTAAGAATATAGCTCAGAAGTTAGAGTCCAGTTGTTTCAGGTCCACATAACTGCAAAGGAGGCTGGGAAATACAGTCTCTAATCTGGGAACAGGACTGAAAGTTCTATTACTGTGGAGGAGAGATGAGAAGGGCACTGGGGTGCAGTGTGGTGTATGTATGTATGTATGTGTGTATGTATGTATGTATGTATGGTGTATGTGTGGTGTATGTATGTGTGTGTGGTGTATGTATGTATGTATGTGTGTGTGGTGTATGTATGTATGTATGTGTGGTGTATGTATGTATGTATGGTGTATGTATGTATGTGTGTATGTATGTATGGTGTATGTATGTATGTGTGGTGTATGTATGTATGTATGGTGTATGCATGTATGTGTGTATGTATGTGTGGTGTATGTATGTATGTGTGATGTATGTATGTATGTATGTATGTATGGTGTATGTATGTGTGGTGTATGTATGTATGTATGTATGTATGTATGGTGTATGTATGTATGTGTGGTATATGTATGTGTGGTGTATGTATGGTGTATGTATGTGTGGTGTATGTATGTGTGGTGTATGTATGTGTGGTGTATGTATGTGTGGTGTATGTATGTATGGTGTATGTATGTGTGGTGTATGTATGTGTGGTGTATGTATGTGTGGTGTATGTAATAGGGGATAGTGAGGGTATGTGAAAGATATAGGTATGTGTGGTATACATGTGTGGTATATATGACATTCGGTGTGCATGTACACTGTGTGTGTGGGGTATGTGTGTGTGTGATGTGTGGGGTGTGTGGAAGCTGTGGGCTATACATGGTGTGTATATGACCTTGCACCTTGGGGACAAAGGACAAGGTCTTACAGTTCTGTACCTTCCAGGAACAGCAGTGCTGCGGGACTGAGCCTGGGCCTGAAAGAAGGCAGGTCCTAAGGCTTTGGCATCAGTAGACGTGCGCTCACATCCAAGCCCTGGCATGTTACCACAGCAAACAGCAAGGCTGTGAACCGCTCTACATCACTCTGAAAGTGGCCTGGCAGGATCCCCGGGCGTGCTCACAAAACTCTGGCCCGGCTCTGCCCACATCTCCACTTTCTCTTGCACATCAGCAGGCTCTGTGGGTTATGCAGATACAAGCCTTGGCACTTCCCACCGTTGCCCTGTACACTGGGCTGGATATTAGTGTCTCCCCAGAATTTATGTCCTTGCCAGAATGTGGCTTTATTGGAATACAGGGTCCAAATGCATGCATAATTAGTCAGGAAAAGATCGCCCTGGAATTGGGCAGCCCTGACCCACTAGGCCTGGCTTCCTTTTAAGGAGAAGAGAGGCCTGGGGATGGGACTCAGTGGAAGAGAACAGGGATGGCTCCGTGAAGAGGGCACTCACCATGTGAGCATGAGGATCAGAGCCCCACTCCCCAAATCCCACAAGAAAGCTGCGTGAGCATGGAGGCATGCCTGTAACCTCAGCACGTGGGAGACGGAGACAGAGAAGCTTTTGAGAAAGCCGGCTAGCCAGACTATCCGAAATCATGAGCTCCAAGTTCAGTGTGAGACCCTGCCTTGACATACAAGGTAGAGAGTGATCCAGGAAAATACTGGTCGTCAACCTGAGGCCTACACACATGTGCACATGTACCACCCCAACATGTATCCACACGTGTAAATACTCATATACACATCCACATATAACTAACACACAAAGAGAAACCACTTTTATTCATGTGCATATTTTCCTGCAACTTGTCCTATTTTCATATTCCATTTTATCTTTGAAGACAGAGGTGTGGTCTTCTTCCCATTCCTCGGAAGTATCAGGAGAAGTGTATGTGATTCAGCTTTCTGGCACCTCCGTTTCTCCATCTGTAACGAGAACCCTTAGTCTGGCCCATGGTGGGTGGAGCCATCCCTGGGCTGCTGGTCCTGGCTTCTATAAGGAAGCAGGCTGAGCAAGTTATGGGAAGCAAGCTAGTAAGCGGCACCCTCCATGGCCTCTGCACCAGCTCCTGCCTCCAGGTTCCTGCCCTGCTTGAGTTCCTGCCCTGACTTCCCTCAGTCATGGACTATATTGTAGAAGTGTAGGACTAATAAACCCTTTCCTCCCCAACCTGCTTTGGTCGTGGCGTTTCATGACAGCAATAGAAAATGTAACTATAAGACATCACTCATCCTGGGTCATCTTCTGAGACAGCCTTTATCAACCCATTTCACAGATGAGGAAATAATGGACAGGACACTTTTGGAGGAAGTGGGACAGTCAGACGGCATGCCCAACTGTACTACGTACAATGTGTGTTTCTTGAGAACCTTTTTCTATCTGTGGGCCCAAGATGGGGACAGTCATAAGTTTGGAGAAATAAATGGGACTCTCCAATTTCTGGGGCTTACCACTGATTTTATATTGGGGACATGCTTGACCTTCCCATAAAACTGTGATTTGGGCAAGAGAAGGAAGTGTGTCTCATCTGGGTGACCACAGAGCCCAGCACAGGATCTGACACTAAGTAAATGTTTGATGACCAAATGAGCAGAACTTCATTTTGAAAAGTGAGGTTAACAATGGGCCAGGACCCAGACCCAAGTCTCTGGGCTCCCAGGGCTTTTCCCTTCTGATACCACACCTTTGACTATTAGGCCTCTGGCATTGCCCCCAAGAGTTTGGGGTAAGCTGAACCAAGGGAGTAAGCTGTGTGAAGGAGGAGTTTTTGATGTCCCACCTTTTGGTCAACTGCCATTTTTACTTCCACACTTGATAGCTGCCCCTCATGTCCGTAGTCTACGACTCTAGTGGGAGACTGCATGCTTGATGGCTTTCCAAATGTTTGAGGGAGAGCCCTTTAATTTATATACTGATAGTGTTTATGTTGCCAACATTGTTAGACCTTTAGAAACTTCTCCATATGTTCTTCCAACCTCCCAGGTTCGTTCCTTATTAGTTCAGCTCCAACATCTTATTTGGCAGCGCATCCACCCTGCTTATGTGGGATTTATTCGTGCACATACTAACCTTCCAGGACCCCTTGCCCAGGGCAATGAAATTGCTGACTCCTTGACCCGCCCTAGGGTCTTATTTACTCAGGAGCAGCTGGCCCACCAGCTCCATGAGAGGTATCATCTAAATGCCCGCTCCATTAAATTTCACACTGGGTGCCCCTTATCCATAGCTACACAGATTACCTCTCAGTGCCCTGATTGTGCCCCTTATCATAATTCTCCCAATGAGGGGGTAAATCCCCGGGGCCTCAGGGCCAACCATCTCTGGCAAATGGATGTCACTCACCTGCCACAGGCAGGGAAATTAAAATACATGCATGTCTCGGTGGATACGTATTCTAAACTGATTTTTGCCTCTCTCCACTCAGGAGAGAAGATTAAAGATGTTATTTCTCATTGCCTGCAGGCCTTTGCCTACATGGGTGTTCCAGATGCCCTAAAAACGGACAATGGCCCTGCCTATGCCAGCAATCGCTTTGCTGCCTTTTGCAGGGAACATCACATTGTCCATTCTTTTGGTATTCCTCACAACCCCACGGGACAGGCTATTGTGGAGCGCACCCATGCCACTCTCAAACAGTATTTTAAGAAAATAAAAAGGGGGAGTATGTTACCTCCCCCAATATTCAGTTATCCACCATACTTTACATTTTAAATTTTTTGACCATAGACCATAATAATTTGTCTGCTATGGAGAGACATTGGAACAAACCCTCCCAGTCCTTGGGATGGGTCAGATGGAAGGATTTGATTACAGGAAAATGGCAGCCACCCACTCCCCTACTAGCTAGGGTCCGAGGGGCTGTTTGTGTTTTCCCTCCAGGAAGTGAGAAGCCCATTTGGGTCCCCGAACGGTGCATCAGGCATGTCGACCCCAATACTACTCCGGATACTAGGAATGCTCACCATGCTAAAGATGATCCAACCATTGCTGAACACTCAGGTAAGGGAAATATGGGCGTTGGTGAGGATTCCCCCCCATGTTAATGCCAGTTAGTCATTCCAGCTCCCTGTTCATCAATTTTTATAACACCAATAATACATTGGGAGCAGCTGCTGCCAATGAGATTAAAAAGTCAGAAACTAGACATTCTGAGTTTCCCCCTCCTAAGCCTGATACCAGGGTCAGGAAGTAGGGGAATCCAAGAGATTCCCAGCGGCATACGCTTTTAATCCCAACACACCTTTATGCAAGTCCCAGGACAGCCTCCAAACAATACAGAGAAACCCTGACTCAAAAAAAAAATTGGTACTGGTATTAATTAAAGAAAAAGACAAAGACAAAGGTATATGGAATGGAAAATTTTGTTTACATTTAAGTTCTATTTTGTGAGTCATCTCTAAAAACTTTTGGCCAAAAGCCTGGCCTCTCTACCTTGCATCTACAGAGTTACAAGGAGTAGGTACGGCTGTACCCCATGACTGTAGCTCAAATGGAGGAATGATAAAAACATATAGGACTTTTTAACCTTTTTAGTTCAAGGATTGGCTGGAGTTGTTCTTTTACATAGATTTCAATTAAGGAAGCTTCATTGCAACAGACTAATCATGACCTAGGGAAAAAGGATGACTGAAAGATGCATGTATGTTCTGAATGTATGGTGTGGCCACACCGGTATGTATGAAATGTGATTGTGAATGCGTGAGTGTGAACTGCTTATATGATTAAAAGGATACTTAAATCCCTTCAAAAATAGTTAAGAAGCTACCTAGATTGCTTTAAATATAGCCAAAAGGAACATCCAGCCAGTCTGTTAATGTTTTAACAGAAAAATTTAAGATGCAAATGAGGCCTTGTCAGCTAGTGAGAGCTCTACAGGTTAGATTGGGAAAGACTGCTCACAGACTTCAAATAATTTTAAAAACTTATTTGGACACAGTATAGTTTACAATCTTTGAGTGATTTTCAGAAGTTTTTGGGAAATATCCAAAGGATATGTCCTTTTTAAAGGGCATCTACAAATAATCTAAGTAGTAATCCCAATTTACCTAGATAGTTAACCAAGGAGGGTAGATAAATCCTTCTACTGTTATGGTCCAGCTTCAACAGTTCAAAAAAGAAAAAATTTTTTTAGAAAATAAAAAAGGGGGAATAATGCCCCCAGTCCCCACATGACTCATCAAATAATACACTCCTCATTTAAAAATTTTATAATGTGAATGCCAGTGAGCTTCAGACAGATTCTGGCATGATGGAACTTGAGCAACCATTGCTC